GTATATTCTTTGAAATTACTTTAAAGAAGATTTAAAGAAAATGAAACTCTATACTGTGTTCCTCGGTTGATTTTCTGGAAATCCAGATGTGATGCACGGACATCATGCAGATACAACTTGAAGTGCATCATGAAATGAATCTTTGCTCACAGAACAATGACTGTAATGTATGCCCTGATCTCACCGTTACATACTGTCATTTGGGAGATTTTTGCAGGAAAAGAGAGTGGAAGGTTAAGAGAAATGTACTGTTGGGCTTTGTGAAGGTTGTTCAGTGGAGCTTAAAAAAGAAGCAATTAATTTGAGCTTGTTTAAAGGAAGTGGGAAGGGAAGACATGAAAGGCCTCCTCCTCTCTCTCTGAACATCAACAAAGGCATGAAGGTCCATAAGGAATAGGAGCTGAGTGAACATGGGAGGCCTTTGTGAAAGTGCTGGTGCTAGGTTAGCCACGCTAATAATGAAAGGCCACTCCTGTGGTCTTACAGCACGGGTGTTGTAGACTTATGACACTTGCTCCATTTTTACCTCTTCCATTCATTTACCGTTCCATCTGGTCATTGCTTTTTCTGCTGCCACAGCAGTGAACAGAGAATTTACTTTTGATGACTTCAAAGCTGGTTTGAATGCTCAAATCTCCCCTATAGCAACTGCACCTCAAAGGACAGTGGGTACAGTGACTGCCAATTAGGAGTTTCAACGAGACCCATTAGATTTCAAAGAAAAATAGATGTTTCAAACAGGGACACAGAAGAAAGTGCTGTTTTATGAAGGGTCCTAAAACATTTTATGCCACTGGACCATAATGCACTCAATCCCTGCCTTTGTCATTAGTTTTTGAAGGACAAACTATTATTTTAAAGAGAGTTACTCACGTGTGAGTTGTCAGCCGTTGGAGCTGAGTGCCATTTGAAGATACTTTCTCATAAACTCATCTAGAATACCCTTCAACAACGGTCATCACAGTCAGAGCTACAGAAGGTGACTGTGAGAGAGGAAAAAGCAAAAAGCATTGGCTGGATGTGCCCCAGTAACACATATAAAAGATTTAATATTGCCCTACAGTAAGGTGTTTTTACAGCACTACTGTATCTTAAAGCTGCCTTAAGTAAGATTTTACTGTCCCATGGCACAAATGGCTGTAATAAATCATCAAAGATTTGATAAAGTTGTCACCAGTGACTCAACAGTCACTACGCCTGCTGCTGGTTTTTCTGCATTTCAGAAGCTCACTTTCACAGTTAACCTGCTTCGTCCTCTTTACATTTCAAGTTCAAAGATGACGCTGTGCCACAAGCGAGCAAATGGAGATGCCTTTTGAGGCAGCAAAGGAAAATGACAGTGTAATACATGTAAATTGTTCTTTTTTTAAAATGTAATACTTATATTTGGGTTGACTGTTGCTGTAAAACAAAATATTTTGTTATTCAATGCAAAAAGTCCAAATACTTTCAATCTACTTACATCTACATGTGTGAAAACACTAACGTGACTCTACACAGTGACATCAATGCATAGTGACATCAAGATATTTACTGATATGATTCTGTAATGATATTATACGTAAACTTTCTGTAGGTTGATTTCTATGGCACAACAAAAAGAACCCCAGTACCTACCTGAAAATGTGTGTCTATAGGCAGTACATGGTGGCCATTCCTGCAGTTCTTGAAGCTGGAGCAACAGCCAAGTTGTGTGCAGATCTCATGCAGCCCAACGAGGCTCTGACAATGACCACCAGCTTGGTGTACAAAAAAAGGACAACCCTCTTCAAATGGGCATCCAGGAAAGACCTTCATACCTGTGCTCAATTTCAGGTTGGTTTTTGAGATGGGCTTTGATTCATTTGCTCATTTCTAGAAGTGTTGTCCCTTTGAATGAAGTTGGAGCACAGGGTTTTTTTTAACTTGTGTTCTTCGATGCACCCACAGAAAATGGAACACGATGGTGTAACTTTACTGCTTGTAGACTAATGTCTCACTTGATGAAAAATGTTGCCACAGGTTCCTTTAGTGCAGAATGACGAGGTGTGGAACTTTGAGGTGGAAGTACAAGGCAGCATGTTTTCTTCAAAAGAAGTCAGAAAGGTTATGATCAGAGTCTATCAACCGATGACATTTGTCCAAACAGATAAACCAATCTACCTCCCTGGACAAACAGGTAACCTTGAACTCCTGGTGTATGTATGCAATATGGGATGTATTTGGCAGCTGTCACTGAACACATTTCAGGATACCAAACGTTTAGGGCTTTTCAAACAACTCAAGATTTCATGTGCGCATGAGCCTGTGTAGCATTCTAGCACTAGAGCGTATCCCAGTATACTGTACCCACTCAGTAGTATAATACAGCTGTTAATAGAAGTAAGAACCATCTCCTGTCAGGCCTTTTCATGTGGGTCACCCAACAGGTGAGGTCAGACTGATAATCCAGGAGAGCTTTCTTAGTGATTAGTGAACACTTCCACCTCTTCCTATTTGTCTTTCTGTTTGCACCTCGAGCCATTAAAAAAATTGTTTGAGTATTCAACTGCTAGTGAAAATAGCACTGTAGCCAAAGTTGTGTCATATCCTACAGCTTTTCTGAGTTTTGATTGGTTAAACAAACAAGCAGTTGTTTTACCACTGCAATGTGCACGTCATAATTCAGTTGAATACTAAGCCAATTTTTTTCCCCTGTGTTAAAAATACATAGTACAGAAACAATTAATCAGTTTATTAGGCAATTAGCAGAAAATTCAGCTCAAACAATCATTCAGTTTATTTGTCAAGCATAAATGCCAAAATGTCAACTATGATTTTCTTTTGATATAAATTTGCTATAGTGTTGACCTTCCAGGAACAAATCCTCCCTGGATGTCAGCACTGTAATAAATAATTACAGGGTTAGAGGGTTTAATAGCTTATATAACTGGATCTAAAGAAACTTTAAATATATAAAAATTGGCCCATAATTAGGTAATTACATTCTAAAGAAAGCATTGAAAAAAACTGTATCACACAGTACTATTTATATGGACTTAGTCATAAATAATTTTCTTATTTCAATTTTTAACTTGGGTTGACTTGGACCGTGACAAGCATGGCTAAATTGATTTTCCAAGAAAATAGCTTATTGACTATTTAAAAAAAAAAAGTGTTGCAGAGGAAGCAGACTGTCTCTCCTCTGGGCCCAGAAGGAGAACATCCCCTGTTGATCAGCAGAGATGCTGTGCTAAGTAATATGCTATTAATAAGAGGCAGCACTTTGTGAAACAGGTTACAGATGGATTTGACAAAGGTACCTAACCACTGATCCTTTTTAAAAGTCCCAAACTGTATATTTTTAAATGTTTTCAGGGATTTTAAGATGTATTTTGTGATGATGTCATGGGAATGAAAAGATTGATTACCGGCACATCGGCAGCTCTGAGAGACGTAATGTTTCTATAATGGAACTTTGCGGGCAGTGATAGACCTTTGCAGAAATACCTACACCTATTAATGAAGACAAGAACAATATTATATCAATGAATCAATCATAAACTTTATTGCCAAGTATGTTAAAATACAAGGAATTTTGTAAAATGAAAAAAAAAAAAAGAAAATATGCAAGAATAGAAAAATAACCAGAATATCAAACAAGCAGAACATATCAGAATATCAACCAAAGACAATCTGAATTTCAGATGAGGAGAAATGATCAAAACAATAGTTTTCGTGATTTGATTTCCCTGTACAGCTGTCTACCAGGTGTGATAACATCAGAACAGCGGAGCTAATCAAGGTCTAATGCCATGTTAACAACAACTGAGATTTTCTGTCAAAATAACAGAAGCAATCTTCACTGCTGACCATCTGACTGCTATAGTTGGTGTTTATGGGGAAAGATAGCAACAAACATATTGTAAATCATTAGGTCAATTCAAGTTCCTCCTCAGTGACAGACTCAGTGATTGATGGGAGTAATGTGTTGTTATGATTGTGTTCTGCATCCAATTAGTGCTGATCTATTGTTGCATTGTGGTGCTTTAATGACCGCAATAGGCAGGAGATGATTGGCCCTAATACCATTTTTCTCCCTAATCATGTGTTTATCATAGCGAGGTCTGTGGAGGGTCTCTAGTGAGGCATCTATAAACCTTGCTGTGCTGTTTGTCCTGGATGAACCGACAGCACCCAGTCAAAAGGAAAGTCATTGTTAACATGCAGAGAGGTTAGGATTATCCAACTGCAGGGGCAGAAAGCCTGACATGAATCATCATTAAAAGATGACATGGCATTGAGGTCACATTTACTGGTTAGTACAGAGGTGGTTGTAGTGTAGACTAAGTGGATTGCCTGCTATAAGACTGGCACTATGCCGTGCAATAGAGACAAACTATGCAGCAAATAACTTCTTGGGGCATTGCCTTTGTGGTATTGAACCACTCCATTCACTGTTAATTGCCTCAGTGTAAGGTTAATTGGCTTGTATTGGAACCAGGAAATCCAATTATCTTGGCTGTTTTTCCATCTCCATTTAACAATTGATCCTCTTGTTTTGATCGCAAAATAATAGTTTTTACAAATAAGATCGGGAAAGACAGTGGCATCTGTAGTCCTTTGTGCAGACAAACCTTGACATTGTAGAAGCTAAATGTCTTTTGTTGCCTTAGCACCTTGATTTAAATTCACTACTAATGTGTTTAAGATCAGTTGTAAAGTACTGAAAGTTCTACCTAAAGAAAAAGGCAGCTGGCAGCAAAGGAGAAAAGGGAATGAGGCTGGCTGGGATGGGAGTGAGTTCTCTGAACCAGAAAATCACAGTTCCTCACCTCTCCAGCATGATCCTGCTTTTCTTTCTCCACAGAAGATGCAGCCTCCTGGTGATGCAGGAGAAATTATAACAGACACAATCTGAAGGGCATAAAATGATTAATTCCAACATCGACTTTTCAGTCAAACATGGCGCTAACGAAGGAAGTCCATGAATTGCAAGCCATGGAGCATAATTTGCTTTCCACTTGGTGTCTGTCAAAATGATGGAAACAATTATGGTTCACCAAGAAAAATCTGTCAAAAGGTGTAATATACCCTGTCATTTTTTAAAACAAAACATCTGCACCAAAATTGTGTTTTAAACAATTGGAAAAAGGTAGAAGGGTGAAGTGAGATATTCATATATAAAAGGACAGGCATCACTGAGGATGTGACAGATGGATCCACATGTAGAACAAAGGCTATATGAGCTGATGGATGGAGAGATGAATGGAGGAGTGGATAACAGTAGACAGAGATGATAAATGGGCAGAAGATGGATGCTGTGGCGTTTCACATACAAAGAATACCTGATGGTCAAACCTTCAAGATCACAGTAAAATCTTTTCCAAGATATCACTGCAACATATGGATTGCTGTAATTCCAGTATGGTGATGGCTCAGGGTGGATTGTTGCACCGTTTGAGGGGTTTTATTGTTGCTAATGTTCGGTGGTTTTCTGGTCCACTGCAGAGGGGCCAGGACGGGTGTGCTGTGTGCGGGAAATGTCAATGACAATTAGCATAAGAAGAGGGAAGGGCAGGTCACTCGATGCATATTCCACAGCCCGTTGGCTCATGAGTATTAATAATAAAACAACACAATGAAGGGCTTGCTTACTAGTTCACTGCAGATCCTTTGCAAATCAATTTTATTCTCTTGTGTGTGAGTGAACTATTTATTTTGCTCACTTTGCCGTGCTCCATTTAAAGATCTGTTGTATTTCTCATGATGTGCCTCTGTATGTCAAGAGTCCAAACTACTGACCTCACATAGATACTGAGAGTATAGAGACAGAGCCTCCTTCCTATTCCCATTATCCTCCCCCCCATATCCATCCCCCACTCCCTTTTCGCCATCTCCTCCATCTCTGACTGCAGTGTTGTCGCAGTGAGTCGGTGTGTAGGAGAAGCATGTATGTGCATACTAACACGGACTGCACCGTGATTTTACCCTATGCCAACACAGAGCACTTGCTGCCTGTGCTCCAGTTTCTTATAACTAAGGGAATAAGCACTGAGCTATTATTAAAGTCAGTGGAGACAGATGGCTGCTGTTGTTTACAAGTTTAACTAAATCTCCAGCCTGTGGCATCATATGGAAAGTTGAAAGGCTGAAAAAGGAGGAAAGACAAAGTAAGGAAGAGGCGGTAAACTGATAGCTGCAAAACATCTGTAGCAGATGATAGGTGAGATGATTCATCACTGCCTCAGTTGCATCAGGAGCATCAGTGTATCTCAGAGATTAATGTGCCATTCAATTCTAGGTTTGCGTAACAGTCTAAGCTCACATACAGTAGGTGAGGTTAGGGTTTTGTCTCTTAAGTCATAAGCATCATGTTAGAGACAAATGCATAAATCTTCTCAGTGTGACAAGTGACAGTTTTAGATTCAAAGTAATTTAGATGTCCACTCTGAATGCTAATGTATACGACAGACATTGTATTAATGTAGTGATTCATTATTTACTATTCAAAGTCCTCAAGGGTGATCTCTTCTTCAGTGATCATCTTTAAGTGCCTGTCAGTGGTAAAATTGTGTATTGATTACAATGTTTGGTGAAGATAACTTCATTGTCAACAGACCTATTCCACAGAGAATGTGCAGACTAGTCATGCTCATTGGAGAAGGAAAACAAAAACACCTCCCATATATTCAAAGTGAAAGAGTTTGTCCCAGTCCAGAACTTGTAATGACTTGATATTTCCCATTGTGCCACTCTACTCTGTCAGAGGCGACATTGATATTCATACATCGCAGCAGGCTATGTGTCAATTTTCAAGTCTTATTCAAATCTGCTCTGAACAGAGCACAAACCCCTGAGCAGTGCTGGCTGCGAGGATGATAGCCCGTCCTGTGTTGAAGAGAAAATTACACGAAGGATAGACCCGGGAATCTTTTCTCTTTCTGCTTGATCTCAGTGCACAACACATCTTGGAGCATTTTCATTCAAATGAAGTATTTCCCTCCACCTTTTCTTGTGTCTGGCTCCTATGGATTATGGATCATGCAGCTTTACATGTGCATAAACTCACTGGAATCATGCACATAGATGCACACTTTTCTATTACAGACCTTGACCCTGCGACCTTAACCTTCACCCCCATCACTACACCTAAACCTAATCTTTAT